ACTGCTCGGATAAGATTTAAATTCAATAAAACCTTGGACTCTTTCTTGAAAGACATAATTCATAAACATGAACTTAAATATTATAGAAAACAGATTTTGATTATTTAACTCTATGACTTACTTTATACTGTTTGTAATATTTTTAATTAAAGAATGTAATTGGGGCTTAGGTAAGAACACAAAATTATGACACAGCATAAACAAGCTTCTCTTGGTAACTTTTCCCCCATGATAGTATAATCACTTTATTTCCTAAAGGACCTAATTTGTATGCTATTAAAAAAGGAAAACCATAACCAGGTAGAACGTAAGCACATTAAACTCAGTGTGAAAAAACAAACAAAAGAGCTGTTTTTAAAGATTCTACATAGTTCTCACATGTTCTAATGCTAAAGATATGAAAAGTTGTAGGTCTAATATAATTTATATCTCCTTTTACCATTTGTGAAATTAAAGTCCCTTCTAGTTATAAGTACATTCAATACATGGTACTAAGTACAATGAAACATATATCGCCAAAGGCTGGTGTCTTGACAAGAGAGGAAAATGACCAGAATGACCTGGGTGGTTCAGTATGGCACTGACAGTGAGTCCGTTCTCCTCAAGGTTAGCCTCCAAGCTGACACATGGTGAAACTAATAACCAAATGTTTGCTGACAGTGAACTAACAGGAGGCCTCCCCTGAAATGCTTCTATGAGTTTCACATGTGTATTTTGATTATATCTCCTGGAACACTTGCTCTCCCTCCCATTACCCTCCTATCATATTGGCTAATACATGTTACTAAATTCAATGAACTATCTTCACTCCTCACCTTTTTCCACCTCTTGGTCCAACTGAACACAGCTAATCCTACTTTAAAAATGCCCTCATCTGGTTTTCTTCGCATCCCTCAGGCCACTCCTTTCATCTGGTCATCAAATGTTGGAATTACATGACACTGGGCCCTAGGCCTTCTTTTGAACTCTAGACTTCTGCTGCTCAATATGGTAGCCGCTAACCCATAGGGCTCTTTAATAAACTTAAAATAATAAAGTTAAATTAGATTAAAAATCAATTTCTTAGGTTGCACTAGGCATTCAAGTGGCTTGTGACTATCATATAGGGCAGGACTTCCACAGAACATTGCCATCATCATAGAAAATTCTATTGTAGCCCTGCCAGTGTGGCTGTGTTTAGAACATCAGCCAGAGCACCAAAGAGTCTCGGGTTTGATTCCTGGTCAAGGGCACATACCTCGGTTGAAGGTTCGTTCTGTCCAGTTGGGGTGCATGCAGGAGGCAACCAACTGAAGTGTCTCCTGTCGATGTTTCTCTTCCCCTTTTACTCTCTAAAAAAAAAATCAATGAAGAAAATATCCTCAAATGAGAATTAACAACAAAAAAAATAGTTCTATTGTACAATGTTGCTCCATACCATCACAGAGTGACCCACTTCACATCTGTGGGTGAAAAAGGGGTTCTGTGGAAAGTAACCTCACAGGGTGATCTGATCATAGATTCCTAAGTGGGCAGCTCATGGTGGATAGTCATGCCCTGGGCATAAGTCTTTTTTTTGTTTTTTTAGTAAAAAGTTTATCCTTGCCTTAAGCAAGCCCTATCCATTGTTTCTGTGCAGCTACATTAACACACCTTTGAAATACACCACCCTCAAGGGAGCACATAATCTTGTTAACTATCCTGAAATCCAATCCCTGCCTTGCTATCTCCCACCTCCATGTAATGTTCCTTACACTCCCTCCTTAATTTCAAATGCATAAATAAGCTGCAAAACTGCAGTTCTGTGGAGCATTTCAGATCTTGCTCTCTGGCACATGTCATCAGTTTGGCTCAATAAACTGTTAAAAAAATTCTCTACAAGTTTGGACTTTTCTTATGTTGACATGCCCATTGTGTCTGTTATCACCTATTTGCAGAAGTACTCTCTTATACAAACTAATCCTTTGAGTACAAAACCCACGTAGCCAAATACTTCACTTTTCCACGTAGATATCTCAAAGATACCTCAAGCCCAATAAGCCCAAGAACAAATTTCTTATATCTGTCTCCAAACCAAACATAGTTTTAGAATGTTCTCTTACTAATGTCACCACCATCTAACCCCAGGTAAACAAGTTAGAAAACTCATTTATCCCTTATCGCCCCTCATCCCTTCAACCCATTTTCAAGTTCTTGAGTATATCTCAAATTTTTCTCCTTCCTTATATCCCCTGCAGCCTCTGTAATCCAAATTTATAGCTTGATCATTGGAGAAATCATCCTGGATTCAAATCTTGATTTTGGCTGAGTGACCTTGGACAAGTTGCTCAATCTTTTTTTCTTAACCAAGTTTTTCATCCGTAAAATGGAGGAAATAATATAATTTTCTTCATAGTGTTCTAATAAAATAAGACTCTGAATGTAGAGTTTAGCACAGTAGGCAGGATATTAAATTCCGTATAAATGTTAGCTATTATTACTATCATCTCATGCTTAGATTACTGAAATTGTACCGTCTTTCCATGCTTATTCTTGCTCCTCTCCAATCTTCTCCCCACAAAATAACTAGAGACTTCTAATAAATGTAAATCTGATCATGTGCCTCTCTATCTCCCTGGAAACCCATTAACGATTTTATAGGGCTTTTAGAAGAGACAGACTCATTCATCTCTTATCACCCTTGCCCCTTAATCACTATGCTTTAACCAAACTGGCTTCAAGCTCCTTAAACAGGTCATGTTCATTCCAAGAGGGCTTTTGCCCACAATGTCTCCTTCTTTGAAAACCTCCTCTGCAAGTTAGTTTAATCCTAATCAACCTTCAGACTTCAGCTAAAAAGTCATTTCCTCTCTAAGTGTGGTCCCTCTACTTTACAGTCTCATTGTACATGTTCTTCTCTGTCCTAGAACTTCTCAGTTTGCACTTACACATTTTTAAGAGGGACTACGGTTTATTATTACTATATATTATTTGTTTCCTCTAACAGACATCTCAGACTGAACTGGTATTCCTCCCACCCGGGGCTGCTTCATTCAGCATCTCCTATTTAAGAAAAGAACACCATTTTTCCAGTTGCTCAGGCCCAAACCCTTGGATTCTCATTCATACTCCATATTCATCAGCAAATTATAGTTCCTCCTCAGAATTCAACCACTTTCCAAACATTTCCTCTGCTACCCATCATGGTCAAAACCACATCATCACTTCCTGAATTTTTGTATTACCTCTTAACACATGTCCTTGCTTCTTTCTTTGTCCCCATCACTTACCCCTTTGTATATTTACAAGGCAGCTAGACCGATCGTTTAAGTATCTGTCAAATCATGTCATTCCCCTACTCAGACCCTCCAATAACTTTGCCACCTGCTAGGGATGGAATAGTGCCCCACCCTCCAAATCCATGTTGAAGCCTCAACCTATGTGACTATTGGAGTTAGTATCTTTAAGAAGGTAATTAAGATGAAATGAGGTCATAAGGGTGGAGCCCTGATCAGATAGAACAGGTGCCCTTGTAAGAGACACTGGGGTTCTCTCTCTTCAACACGTGACCACACAATGAGAAGGCAGTGTTCTGCAAACCCTCACCCAAACCTGGCTGTGCTGGCACCCTGATCTCAGCTCCCAGCTTCTATCTAGAACTATAAGAAAATATATTTCTGTTTAAGTCACTCAGTCAACGGTATTTGTTAGGGCAGTGCAATTTTACTAATATACCATCCCACTCAGAGTAAAACTCAAAGTCCTTCCATTAGCCTAAGAGGTCCTACACAATTTGGTCTGTCATACCCCCAATCCGTGAACTCTCTGACCTAATCGCCTTTGATTCTCCCCATCCCTTAAGCAGCTTCAGTTACACTGGCCTACATGAAATTCTGTGAACATGTCAGACATGCTCTCACCTTTGGGCTTTTGCTTTTCCTCTGCCTCGGATATTTTCCTCAAATATTTGCATCACCCACTTCCTCACTCCAGTGCTCCAGTGTCACCTTCAAAGTGGGGCCATCTATGAAAACTTTTTCCATCTCCATCTCACATACATATCCAATTCCCCTTAGCGCTCCAAGCATGCTCTGGATTTCTACATTCCTATAGCATGCTATATACTTTACCTGTTGATCATTTCTTGCCCCCCACCCTCTCCCTAGACAATTGGCTCCATGAGAGAAGGGGTTGTCTGTTTTGCTCACTGCTATATCCCCAGAACACAAAGCACCCCATCCCAGGTGCTTACCATTTGTGCAGTTGAATGAATGCTGAATTCCAACAGCCATCTAATTAGCTTGAGCTAAGAGGTACCACACAGATCAGCTACCAAGGCAGCAATCCCCTAGTAAAAACAGCACTGCCTAAAGGACCACCTGATTTTTCTGGCCTCTTCTGGTTTTCTGCTAATATTACTAATGCTCTAGAGAGGATTTAAAAACCATGGCTACATGATCCAAGGGCGGTTCCTTCCTCTTTCCATCTTTACAATAGAGATAATAAACTGAGATAAAAGTTGTGCAGGTCAAATAAGATCATGGTTATGACAACTTTTTAAAAACAACCTGGTTGCAGCTTTCTTAACAGTACTGTATTTCCAACCAGTTCTGCAAACCCTGCAGCTCTTTGATCATACTTCTAGAGTTCAGCAAGGGACAGTGTTTATCCTCATAAATAAAATTTAAAAATACATAAATATAAATACGTAAGTAAAAGGCAAATGATCGAAGAAGCCATTCATTGTTCTCTGTTTTCCTGTGGGGCTGTGGGTAGAATTTGGGTTAAAAATTGATTTTGTGAAGGAAGTTGCAAAGTAATTATTTCCCCCTACATTTTCCACGGGAGAAAACTGACCTGCAGAGGAGTACCTTTCTGTTTTAATTAACAGAGGATTCTTCACAACCTACATCGTGCTGAAACCTCCCGGTTAGTTACTGCTCTCATATTCATTTCTGAGCTTCCTATCCTTTTTGGAAATGTCTCAAGTTAAAAATCGTCATAAAACAATAAAGTATCACAACTAAACTCCCTTCTCTCACCTTCAAACATCACAGCGTTTAAAATAAAGGTGCCGTCGGAAGTGTGGACACACCCACTGCATCGCGGCGGGAACGAGTCCCCGGTTACGCGGATCTAACGCTGCCGGGGTTCGGGGCGAGGTTACCACCCAGAGGCAGCGCGGAGGAAACCCTGCCTTCCCCGGCTCAGGCCTGGAGCGAGGGCGGGAGTCGCGGC